TTCTCCTGTCCTTTGGCATGTGGCTGGTCTTCAGGGAATAAAAAAGAAAAACAAAAAAAAACCCAGATCCTTTTGTGGCAATTCAGTCATTTACTTATAGGTAAGGAAATAAAGGAAGGGATAGGAGACCACTCTGAGGTTTATGATAAACATCCCTAGTTGTAAAAGAGAAGAAGGCCTAGAATGTGGAGAAGCCTCTGCCCCAGCAGGCAGACACAGAAAAAGATGACAATCAACATTTGCCTCCTTTCTCTCATCAGCCTCATCAATGGAATTAAAGATTTAGGCTGCTGCAGCTCCAAAAGAAAGCAATTCCAGAAGTAAGTTGTTGTCACTGTCTTCATCAGCTCCCTAGCAATGATGACCTTAGCATTCTCCTATTTTCCTCAGAAGAAAACAAAAGGCCTTTTAGGTTTCAGTTTAATCAAGAGTGGGCACTTGCTGGATATGGTGGCTCAGGAGGCTGAAGAAGCCCGGGGTGAACAAGTTCCCATCCAACTTGAGCTATAAAGAAAGAGTGGGCACTATTTGCCTTGCATGCCTGAGGCCCTGGGATCAATTCTTCAGCACCACATAAGCAGAAAAAGTCAGAAGTGGCACTGTGGCTCTAGGGGTAGAGCACTAGCCTTGAGCTGAAGAGCTGAGGGACTGCGCCCAGGCCCAGAGTTCAGGCCCCAAGACCAACAACAAAAAAAAAAAAGTAAAATAAAAATTAACATATTTGTGTTAAGAAAAACTTGACTGTGAAATAGGACAAATGAATCATCACCACCATCTCTAACCCATGCCTCACTCCCAGGTTTGGTTCAAATAACAGGTTAGGGCTGGGAGTGTGGCTTAGTAGTAGAGTCCTTGCCTGGCATGCATGAGGTCCTAAGTTTGAGTCCCTGGTACCAGATAAACAAAAAATAAGTACATAAAATTAATTTACAACTAAAAAACTAGCTTAAAAGTAAGTAAAGCTACATTTTATTCAATTTTATTGTGCTTCATTTAGCTCACTTTAAAAAAAATTATATAATCCTTGTAAATCCAAGCTGAATTAAGTGAAGAATTGACTTGAAGGGGTTTGTGAGCTGGCCTGGCAACTAAACCTTCCTACAGCACTGTGATCAATCACTTTTTAACAACCTATCCATTTTCAGAATCCGCCTATTTGTATTCAGAATGTAACCCTAGCCTACATTCTAAGAAGGATGCTTTATACTGGAACACCAAACATCCACAGCCAGGTGCCATGGAGACTGAGTGTGAATGCCACACGCTATCAAGAACTTAAAATCTACAAATGACTTTTTAGGACCCTGGTACCTTGGGGTTTCAATAACAACACATTCTATCAATTGGAACCATCATCGAAAATTAGGAAACAACAACCAAAAAGAACATAAAAACATACTAGATTAATAGCCTTGTACAATAAATAAACATTTTACAATAGCACTTTGGAGAAAAATGAAATACTCTTAGTCAACCTAAGGCCCCAGCTTCTATAAACAAACTGACCAATTAATGTCTCTAAAGGGGCAGAATGTTTTGACTACTGAAGTCAGGAAAATTTTCCTCCCTACAGTGGCTCTGATTGGCAGGTATTTTCTGAGAGAAGACAGCTGAGTTAAGGAAGGCCTATGGTCATTTTATGTCAATGGGCAAAATAGTTTCTTTCTTTTTAATTTTTTTTAACTAAACTCCATGGCTACATCACACCTACTATCCTGCTCATGGCAGTGCCTTAAAGGGACAGGAACCACTACAACAAATACACACAGCTTGAGTTCTTACATAACTCATTGATTAAATATGCCCATAGTTGTTGTTCTCAACAGACCTTGTCAGAATAAAATTCATATGTCTTCAAGCTACTGATATCTATTTCATCTGGATATCAGGGTAGTTAGTGTATCTAACTCAGGAAGGACAAAATGTTCTAGGAAATCAAATCAGTCCCCCTTTTGCCTTGACTGTCCTAAGATCTAGCCCCATCTAGATTGGTTATGGGTAGTTTCTCTTGTTTATTCTATTCTCTATAAATTATTAGAGAAATCACCAAAAAAAAGAGAGAAAAAAACAGATAGAACAGTATCACTTAGATACCAAGTTAAGCCATAAACTTTGTAATAGAGCATGTTTACTGTGGTTAAAAGACATAAGCCACATACGTTTTTAGCAACAACTATTAGATATCATGACCTTTAGTATTGGCATTTTCTGGTATCGTTTCAGGTAACACTAGTAAAGATGGCAAAAGTAATCTAATCTCCTAAGTTGCATGTCCCAAACTTCTGAAACTGTCTCAGCAGAAGCAATATCTTTACACATTTATTTTTCAAGGCAATCCTTTAAAAGAAATAGTGCATCAGGCACAAGATACATAAGAGGAACAAGTTTTGGTAGCATGTCAGTCAGTTGATAATATCTACAACATAAACACCTACAGGAAACCTGGTAAGTACTGTGCTCATGGCTCAGAATGAAAAAGAAGATGACCCCACATAGCCTGTTCAATACAATTCCTCTATAGGAGGAAGCAAATAAAACTAAACTCTGTTCATTAACTATATATTAACACATGAAGCCAGGCTCAGGTGGCTCACACCTATAATCCTCGTGACTCAGAAGGGTAAACTCTAAGGATAAAGGTTCAAAACTAACTTGGGAAGGAAAATCTGTGAGACTCTTATCTCCATTTAACCAGCAAAAAGTCAGAAGTGGAGCTGTGACTCAAATAGTGGAATTAACTGTGAACAGAAAAGCTAAGAGACAGTGTCCAGGTCCTGAGTTCAAGCCCCAGAATTCACACACACACACACACACACACACACACACGCACACACACACACACAACACTCACATAGATTCTTTTTATTGTACTTTAAAAGTTATATTTCAGGTTAGTCAGTGGCTCACAACTATAATTCTAGGTACGTAAGAAGATGAGACTTGGGGAACTTCAGTTCAAAGTTAGAATATATAGAAGTCTTTAAGACTGTCTCCAAAAACAATCAGCAAAAATACAGGCTGAAAGTCTAGCTCAAATGGCAGAGCATTAGCTAAGCAAGCAAGCAGAGCAAGTGAAAGGCCCTGAGTTCAAACCCCAATGCTAAGAATTTTATATTTTTAAAATTTTAAAAATAAAGAAGTAGTACTCATTATCTTGCCCATGTAATTGTAACCCCTCTGTACAGTATGTTCACAAAAAATTTTAAAAAAAAGAAATATTCAAATCTAAATAAATAAATAAAAATAAAGAAGTAGTTGGATATGGGTTTATCACACCTGTGATCCTAGCTACTCAGGAAGCTGAGATCTGAGTATTGCTGTTTGAAGCCAGCCAGGGCAGGAAAGTCCAAGAAACTTATCTCCAAAAATAGCAGGGAGTAGAGGTGTGGTTGAAATGGTAAGGTGCTAGCCTTGAGCACAAGAACCTCAGAGACCATACCCATTCCCTGAGATCAAGCCCCAGGTCAGGAAAAAAGAAGAAGAAGAAGGAGAAGAAGGAGGAGGAGAAGGAGAAGAAGAAGAAGAAGAAGAAGAAGAAGAAGAAGAAGAAGAAGAAGAAGAAGAAGAAAGAGGAGGAGGAAGAAAAGGTGGTGGAGGAGGAGGAGGAAGAGGAGGAGGAAGAGGAGGAGAAGGAAGGAAGAAGAATGAGGAGGATGAAGAAGAAGAAAGAAGAAGGAGGAGGAAGAAGAAGGAAAAAGAAGAAGGAGAAGAAGAAGCAGCAGAAGAAGAAAAATTAGCAATATTTCAGGCAGAACTGTATTTTAGCGCCAGCCCCTGGAAAAGTTGGTAGCAAACAATCTGAAAAACAAAAAGCAAAAGGACTGGTGGCCTGGCTCAAGTGGAAAAGTGTAAGTGGGATGCCCTGAACCCACCTCCCACACTGCTAAATAAATAAACCTGTTCCACCTCTATATTATAGTTCAGAGAGGGAACAAATACAAGGCAACTCTTTGCTTTAGAAATACCCATAAAAATGTAGAAAACTCAGTAGCTCATAAGTCATCTAGTCACAAACAGCTTACCAAATTCCTACACTGTCATCTTTGAAATAAGAAGGTTCCACCCTGCTGGTAGCACAAAATACCCTGATGTTGAGAGAAAGCAAATGTTTAACCATGTTAAAACACTGACTATACTGGTCACTAGCATTTCAAGCTGAAAAGAAGGAACTGCAACAAAATTCATTCCATCCTGGCATCAATTTTAAATAGGGAAAATGTGCTTATCATGAAAATTGAATGGATTGGATTTGGCAACTCCATAGCTGTCCTCTTATCCTGGCCTTCCCCCCATGAAGATGCTTATGGGACTTTCTTCTATAATGCTAGCTCCTCAGGATGCTTAGAACTAAGGATCATGGTTCAAAGCCAGCCAGGGTAAGAAAGTCCATGAGAATCTTCAATGAACCAGCAAAAAGTCAGAAATGGAGCTGTGGCTCAAATGGTGGAGTACCATCCTAGAGCAGACTAGGCTAAGGGACAGCACCCAAGCCCTGAGTTCAAGCTCCAATATTGGCACCAAGCAAACAAACGAGGTTTATGTAACACAAGGTAATAAGTAACTAAACCTTTAAAAAAAATAAAAGTAGAATTGAGAGTTTGATATTTCCTATTTCCTTTCTCACCAGCCTGCCTTCTCTTAAGACAAATTTGGCAAGAGCATAGAAAGTGTCCAGATATTCTGATGAACTGGACATAACAAGTCTAAATGAACAAACCCTGGCACTGGTAAATGAAAGTTTGGGGCTTTTTTTCTTAAACCAAAGAGTCACAACAGTTGCTAAATAATGCTCCTTGAAAAAGACATTCACATTAAAAGGAAATGAAATACAAAACAAGAAACACAATGTTCAGGGATCATAATTATGAATTCTGAGTACTCTAAATCAGTCTTTCAAATCACACTAAGAAACTTCTGACAGCAACTCCTAAGCAAAAAACTCCACATACTTCAGCAGTTTTAAATTTCGTATTATATTTAATACATGGCCAGTTACTTACTTGCTTCCTTTTGTAATGAGCAAATTGAGAGAGTCCTAAGATTGTAGCCAGGGCACCTCCTCCAACAAGAACAGTCCCTTTCACTGCCTTTTGAAACGCCATTTCTTAGCCTGCAAAAGGGGGGTGGGGGGGAGAAGGCAGGGAAGAGAAATAGGAAAGAAGTTAAGTAGAGCTTCATTGCATAATAATTCTAATTCTAAAGATACTGTGAATTGAGAAACTGTTAAACTAGAAAAGCAAACAGAAAATGAGGGTGCTACTAACATGTCAACTTGTATACCACATTCAAAAGCAATGACCACCAAAAACCTGAACAAGGAACTGAATTAATTATGTAAAAGTCACACACTCTTCCAAAAGAAATTAAAGAAAGAAATGCAAATTATGAGACAACTGAGGGTATTTAAACAGTATAAAGTCAAGAGAGCTGTGAAAAGAAATGTCATTGTGTATTTGACAAAACTGCATGCTGTACTTAGAAATTTGTTCAACAGCTAATCCCCTACACAAGGAGAACTTGGTAAATGTCCTGGGTCACTCAACAGGACAATAAACCTCAGTTCTGCTTCAGGTTCTTTGGGCAAGTGTTTAATTCAAACTATGCAACTCCCTTCTTGAATTTTCCTTTCTTAATGAAGACCTCACTAGAGCCATAAGCTAACATACTTAGAAATCTAAGTATGTTAGCTTATGAAACAATTCATGTTTCATGGATAGCTTCCATCAATGTTTCACTTAATCTGCAGGAATTTCTTTCACTGAGAGAATCAGAAAAGAAAGAGAAGAAAAGAAAGGTTGGGGGGAGGAGAAACAGAAACAAAAAAGAAAAGCAAACGTTTTCTTCTAGCCAGAGCTGCCTGACACCACAATTTCAAAGGAAACACCTCTGGATCAAGCACTCTTCTCTGCTCAGAGAATATCTCAAAATAAAGCACAGTATTATTAAGGTTTGAACTCAATACCTCAGGTTTGGTAGGCAGGATTTCTACCACTTGAGTCACACCCCAAGCCCCCAGGAATTTCTTCATGCTCTCATGTTGGACTAAGTAGACTTTTTAAAATATTTATTGAAACAAAAAAAAATAAAATATTTATTGAAGATCTAAAATTGTCTTAAAGCCAAGCGCCAGTAGCTCATTCCTATAATCCTCACTACTCTGGGGTCCTCAAATCTCAGTTTGAGCCAGTCCAGGTTAATCTCCAATTAACCACCAAAAAGATGAAAGTAGAGCTATAGTTTACATAGTACTTAATTGAATGAAAAAAACTAAGGGACAATGCTGGGGCCCTGAGTCCAAGTTCCAGTACAGCAGGCGTGCACGCACACACACACACACACACACACACACACACACAAACACACACACAATTGTAATTTTCTAATTAAAAAGATATAACCTAGCCAGGCACCGGTGGCTCACACCTATAATCCTAACTACTCAAGAAGATGAGATCTGAGGATCCTGGTTCAAAGCCAGCCCAGGTAGGAAAGTCTGTGTGACTCATCAATTCACTACAGAAAACCGGAAATGTTATTGTGGCTCAAGTGGAAGCCTTCAGCTGAAGAACTCAGGGACAACACCCAGGTCCAGAGTTCAAGCCCCACCATCCGTAAATAAATAAATAACCAAGAAATAAAATTCCACCAAAAAATCTTATCACCTTTATTTTACTGAAAATAAAAAGATAACATTTTATAAACAAATTCTGACTTAGAGTTGCATGAGTTGACCTGCCTAAGATTTTCTTTCCATTCACAAAAGCAGCCAGCACACCCACATTTTATGGGGAAGTCACCACCCCATTTTCCTGTATGGGTGGAGATCAGGCCTGTCTGAACCACACACCTTACACTACAAATTACCTCATAACTCTAGAATGTATTATGAGAGCAGTTTTAATTCAAGATACTAAAAGCTTGTACTGTTTCCCATATACAAAATGTGTGTAATTATTTTGATAGTGACATATATTTATATTACATTATCATATCTAAATTAAAGAACTTCAGTACCGTTGCTATGCTTCTACAGAAAATACATTTTGAAATGCAATAAATTATATACAAAAATGGAAGTTGGTATTTCTTTTAAGTTTGTATTTCCCCTCTCTGATCTCATACTTGGTTGGAAATTCCAAAATTCTAAGACTCTTCATTAAGATTCTTACCAGGAAAATATTTCACGTGAATACTCAGATAGGAGAGGTTTCTTCAGTAAACTTTCCATCTTGTGCTCACACTGGGCAAGATATTGGTGTATACTAGCTAGAAACTCCAGCATTCGTCCAACCTCAGGCAAAAACCTTAATCCTAGGCTGTTCTCATAGTAAAAACTACAACTCATCTGTCTTCACACACCATCACCACTCAAGGCAATGCTGAAAATGTTCACACAGGTGCTTATTTTACAACAATGGAAACCCAGAAACAGTATGCCATCACAACACTAACTGGACCTCCCTGTGATTTCAGAACAGAGTATGGTATCCAAGTTTTATTTGTCTAAACAATGCATGTTGCCTACCCCATAGAGACAGCAGCATTGGTGGTCCATTGGATGTGAGTGTGGTACTGGACTGACTTCAGTTTAGTATCATTGCTCCTGTCATGTTAGTCATGTCATTGATGACCTCACAAGGGATACCATTCATCAACATAGACAATGAGAGATATTACATAAGCACAGTCAATGGAAGTGTCTTCCATCAGAGCTATTCATTCAAGAGGTTTTGATTCCTTCATTCAGAAGTATGGGTTTCCTACCCACCTTATTGTAATCTTTCAATTTGATTTGCCCAAGGCCAAGACTTGTGAAAGGGGTTATTTTTATGCATTATCACAATAAGCCACTAATACTGCCAAAAAACAATTCACATGTTGCCAGTAATATTGACTCTAATAACTATCCTTTCTCAGTAGTTTCATAAAGTAACTTAGGCTTGAGAAATCATTATTCTGAAAAAAAAAAAGAAATTCATTATTCTGACTAGGATCAAATGGTTATCTAGCTATTCAGAATGAATGAACCACTCTCATAGGTAATTCAAAAACAAAAGCATAGAATTCGTTGCACCTACCTCTCCTAAGACAATCATCATTATTTTTAGAATAACAATAGCTATTGTTTATTGAGTACTAAGTAATAGAAACCATGTTTTTAATTCCTTATATACAGTAGCTCATTTTACCATCATAACATCTAATTTCATAAAAGAGGAAGCTATGGTTCTGAGGAAATAGAGGATTTGCCAAAAGTCACCCCCTAGTAAGAAAACCATGACTTTGTTTAGGTTCTTAGCTACTGAGTATTATTGTCTGCTTTTGGTCTCAAGACAACATCTCCACAAGAACAATACCCCATTTTGCTATCATTCCTAAAAGAAGATCCTTTTATCAAACAATCCCCCAGTGTGCAGTCATCAGAGTTCAGATTTCTCTTAATAGAACACAAAAAAGATTACATTAAAGTCCTCAGCACAACCATGTTAATAACAGCACTATTCACAATGGCCAAGACATGGAATCAGCCCAGATGCCCTTCAATAGATGAATGAGATCAAGAAAATGTGGTATACATACACAATGGAATTTTACCCATCCATTAGAATATTATTCCATTCATAAAGAAATGGATTGGAAAAAATGTATTAAGTGAAATAAGCCAATCCCAGAGAAACAAAGGTTGTTTAGTGTCCTTAATTTGTGGTAGATAAAATGTACCAATAAATCTATATGTGAACACATTAGGTGATTACAAATGAATTAACTCAAGTATAATACTATTTCTCTCTACAGAGAGCTCAAATAGTATTTTTTTTAAGACAGATTAGGTGTAAGCTCAACTCAGAACCAAGAAATGGGTACGTGCAAGATGGGGATATAGGGCCAAGGAAAGAGGTGCAAATGAATAAAGGAGAGAAGGTTAAAATTCATTCGATATACACAAAATTAATCAAAGAGACAAAAGGGTTGGATCTAAGGAGGAGTGAAATGTTGAAGAGGGTGAACTGAACAAAATGTATTGTTTTCATAAACTACTTTGCTAAATGGCACCTCCTTTGTACAACTACTTAAAGATAATTTTTTAAAAGTTAAAGCTGAGGATTTGGCTCAGTGGTAGAGTGCTTGCCTAACATGCATGAAGCCCTGGGTTCGATTCCTCATTTCCACATAAACAGAAAAAGCCAGAAGTGGCGCTGTGGCTCAAGTGGTAGAATGTTAGCCTTGAGCAAAAGAAGCTCAGGCACAGTGCCCAGGCCCTGAGTTCAAGCCCCAGGACTGGCATAATAAATAAATCCTGTGGCAGAGTATCTACCAGTAATCTTCTACCAGATTAAACTACAGGCCTTGTTTTCAAAATCAAATAAATATAAACTGTGTTGAGGACCTGTACATTTTTACATTTCTTTCTAAGGAAATAAAAGAAAGAAGTTTTCATACTAGTTACAAAGCGGGAAAAATGATTTCCCTCTAAGCAATCACTGCCACTAGGAAGTTAGCAAGGCAGGGGCCCAGACAAGTCTCCACCTTTGCAGTTAAAAGTGTGAGAAAACTACAGGGAGAAAATAATCCAGAGATAAAATTAACTTAGCACAGCTCAAGGTCCATGCTTTACAGCCTATTAAATCACATGCACACTGAGAGGACTGGCTCTGGTGCTGGCAGAGACCAACTCTAATTCTGCCAGGGAGAATTCCAGTTCAAGTAGCAAAGCCTAAACAGAATGGTGCTCACTTAAATATATCTGGGGTCTTCTCAACTACCACAAAGAGTGTTTATAATCCACATTAAAGCCTGACTTGGAAGGATGTTGTCAGCAAGGTTCTATATTATTGTACAACAGAGAGATTAAGTCTGACTGAAAGAATGTAAAAATTCTTTAAAGAAGCCCAGATATTTGAGAAGGATTTTTTTGTTTTTGAGGGGAAGGGGTTGGTTTTCTGAGACAAAGTTCCTTATATACTCCAAGCTTTTCTTAAATTAGTTATCCTCCTGACTCAGCCTCCCCAGTGGAGGCAATATAGTTGTGCCTGGTGAGAGAAAGCCAGAGGAAAGGAAAAGATATAAAGGAGAATACGCAGAGAACGTCTACATAAAGAACAATTATTT